CCTTACAGAACTGCACCTCTACTCTGAATAACGTAATGCCTTACAGAACTGCACCTCTACTCTGAATAACGTAATGCCTTACAGAACTGCACCTCTACTCTGAATAACGTAATGCCTTACAGAACTGCACCTCTACTCTGAATAACGTAATGCCTTACAGAACTGCACCTCTACTCTGAATAACGTAATGCCTTACAGAACTGCACCTCTACTCTGAATAACGTAATGCCTTACAGAACTGCACCTCTACTCTGAATAACGTAATGCCTTACAGAACTGCACCTCTACTCTGAATAACGTACTGCCTTACAGAACTGCACCTCTACTCTGAATAACGTACTGCCTTACAGAACTGCACCTCTACTCTGAATAACGTAATGCCTTACAGAACTGCACCTCTACTCTGAATAACGTAATGCCTTACAGAACTGCACCTCTACTCTGAATAACGTAATGCCTTCCAGAACTGCACCTCTACTCTGAATAACGTAATGCCTTACAGAACTGCACCTCTACTCTGAATAACGTAATGCCTTACAGAACTGCACCTCTACTCTGAATAACGTAATGCCTTACAGAACTGCACCTCTACTCTGAATAACGTACTGCCTTACAGAACTGCTTTGGTTTTACCATCATAAACATCAGGGGTGTATTCAGTAGGTTGTCAAGGTCTTAATTGATTAGTTAAACGTAAAGGCTGTTAGTTAGCCCCTAGCCTGAGTACTGGCCTGTTTACCATGACATGGAGTGGAATGATAACGTGGTACCAGACTAGCTAACGACAGTAAAGGCCAGTATTACAACACATAGCTAGGTGTACAGGTCCAGTGTAACATCACAACATAACTAGGTGTACAGGTCCAGTGTAACATCACAACATAACTAGGTGTACAGGTATTTTTGTACTTTAATAAGCCTGTTAAACTTGTCCAAATAATGCTAATAAATGTGGTATTATCACAGTATGTAATTGAACTCATTGCATCTCAGCTTTCATTAATGAACAACAAAATGTTGCACTCACAAGTATTAATGATCAGGGTCCCTGATGGGTTCATTAATGATCAGGGTCCCTGATGAGTCTTTGTCATGCCAAATCCATGAGGTGTCAAGAGAGTTCAAGAGAGTAGACAGACCGGTATAGAAATGAAATGACAAATGGGGTGTTTTTCTATAGATTTTATTTGAAACCATCTCTGAAGCCCACAGTCTGTTAGAAGAGAAGCGGCGTGACTTTTTATGCCTTCGGCTTGGGGCTTGGCTTTTACAAGAACCGCTTCTTCTTAAGGCTTCAGCATCTTGTGGCCTTGATCTGGGAAGAGGGGGAGAGGGGGTAGAGGGTGACAGGGGTAAGGTTAGAGGGCGACAGGGTAGAGGGCGACAGGGGTGTAGAGGGCGAACAGGGGTAGAGGGGGCGACAGGGGTAGAGGGCGACAGGGGTAGAGGGCGACAGGGGTTAGAGGGGGGCGCGAGAGGTGGTAGAGGGCGCCAGGGGTATTAGAGGGGGGCGGCGACAGGGGTAGAGGGGGGCGACAGGGGTAGAGGCGACAGGGGTAGAGGGGTAGTTAGAGGGGGGCGACAGGGGTAGAGGGCGACAGGGTTAGAGGGGGTAGAGGGGGGCGAACAGGGGGTTAGAGGGCGACAGGGTAGTAGAGGGGTTTATAGAGGGGTAGAGGGGGGCGACCGGAGTAGAGGCGACAGGGGGGGCGGACAGGGTAGCGGGGTAGAGGGGGGGGTGACGGGGTAGAGGGGGCGCCAGGGGTTAGAGGGGGGGCGACAGGGGAGAGGGGAGCGACAGGGGTAGAGGGGGGCGACGGGGTGAGGGGTTGTTAGAGGGGGGCACAGGGGGGTTGGTGGAGGGGGGCGAAAGGGTAGAGGGGGGGACAGGGTAGAGGGGGGGACAGGGGAGAGGGGGGCGGGGACAGGGGTTAGCGGGGGGGCGACAGGGGTTAGAGGGGGGCGACAGGGGTAGAGGGGGGCGACCGGGGGTAGAGGGGGGGGACAGGGGTAGAGGGGGGGACAGGGGGATAGAGGGGGGCGACAGGGGTCGCGGGGGGCGACAGGGGGTAGAGGGGGAGGTAGCGGGGGGGCGACAGGGGTAGAGGGGACAGGGTAGAGGGGGGGCGACAGGGGTAGCGGGGGAGACAGGGGTAGAGGGGGGCGACAGTGGTAGAGGGGGGCGCAGGGGTCCGGGAGGGGTAAGGGGGCGTACAGGGGTAGAGGGGGGAGGACAGGGGTAGAGGTGGGGCGGACACAGGGTAGAGGGGGGCGGACAGGGGTAGAGGGGGGCGCAGGGAGGGGGCAAAAAAAAAAAAGGGAGGGAGACAGGGTAGGGGCGGACAGGGGCTAGAGGGGGGTGCCAGGGGAGAGGGGGGACCGGGGGTAGAGGGGGACAGGGGGTCGACGCGGGGCGACAGGGTTAGAGGGGGGGCGACAGGGGTCGAGGGGGGCGACAGGGGTAGAGGGGGGCGGGACGGGGGTAGAGGGGGGCGACAGGGGTTAGAGGGGGGCGAAGGGTTAGAGGGGGCGAACAGGGGTAGAGGGGGGAGGGGACGGGGGTAGAGGGGGGGGGCGACGGGGGAGGGGGGTAGAGGGGGGAAGGGTAGAGGGGGGGGTAGAGGGGGGCGACAGGGGTGAGAGGGGGGGCGACAGGGGTAGAGGGGGGGACAGGGGGTGGAGGGGGGGGGGGGGGACAGGGGTAGAGGGGGGCGACGGGGGGTAGAGGGGGGGGGGGACAGGGGTAGAGGGGGGGACAGGGGAGTAGGGGGGGGCAGGACAGGGGTAGAGGGGGGCGGACAGGGTAGAGGGGGCAGGGGTAGAGGGGGGCGCAGGGGTAGAGGGGCGAAGGGGTAGAGGGGGGGCGACGGGGGTTTAGAGGGGGGGGGGACAGGGGGTGTAGAGGGGGGCGACAGGGGTAGAGGGGGGCCGGGGTAGGGGGCGACAGGGGTAGAGGGGGGCGACAGGGGTAGAGGGGGGCGACAGGGGGTAGAGGGGGGCGACAGGGGTAGAGGGGGGCGACAGGGGTTAGAGGGGGGCGACAGGGGTAGAGGGGGGCGACAGGGGAGAGGGGGACAGGGGTGAGAGGGGTAGCGGGGGGCGGACAGGGGTAGAGGGGGGACAGGGCGACAGGGGTAGAGGGGGGCGACAGGGCGACAGGGGTAGAGGGGGGCGACAGGGGTAGAGGGCGAGAGCAACTTGTCATTAGGACAATATAGGAATTCAGGAAATGTAGGATATTGATGTGGGTCAATTTCAATGTATGAATAGGGGTCATAGAAGCAGGGATTTCTGATGATACGGAAGGTCCTTCTACCAGTACTCATACGTCAGTGTTTAGGTGCAATTGGGAGGAAGTATGTTTGTCATGGGATACAGAGTATTTTACAGGCTTCATTCAGAACTTCTGTTAGATATCAGGGTTCAGAAACACGGACCAAAGTGGAAGCTCAGTGTAGAATACTCATACTAACCCTACTATTTGTGACGCGCATTGAGGTATGTAGTATGCTTATTGGTCATAGTATGGTATAGTTAGTATGCCAAAAGTTCCCGGATGTCGTACTAAATTCACCAAAATACGAAGCATAAAAAATACGAAGCATACAAGCAGCGGACACTATTTCCGTGCTTTTAGGGCCCATAATGCAATTGTTCAGAAAAAGGGGCATGGCTTCACAACGTTTTGAGATTGGAAGAAAATATGCAGCCGAAGTCCAATGAGAGCGGACACAAATTCACTGCTTTAATTAATTTTGACAAAAAGTTAAGAAATGTTCCCAATGTAATGAAGTCAAAGACTTTTCAAATACGTTACGTTGGCTGACAATTTGTTAGCTACGCTATCCTTCCGAACCTCATAGCATTACAGCAGTATGTTAGCTAGCTACCTAACGTTAGTTGGTTCCTAATACATCCAACTTGCTGGGCGGTATATTAACTACCTGCTATCTAACTACCCAACATTTATTACATTTTTTTTTACATTTTAGTCATTTAGCAGACGCTCTTATCCAGAGCGACTTACAGTTAGTGAGTGCATAATTTTTTGTATTCATACTGGCCCCCCGTGGGAAACGAACCCACATCCCTTCCGGCCATTCCCTCCCCTACCCTGGACGACGCTGGACCAATTGTGCGCCGCCCATGAGTCTCCCGGTCGCGGCCGGCTACGACAGAGCCTGGACTCGAACCAGGATCTCTAGTGGCACAGCTAGCGCTGCGATGCAGTGCCTTAGACCACTGCGCCACTCGGGAGTATTATTGACGTGATGATTCACATCATTCTTAGCTAAGTGGTATAGTCATTGTGCGTGTCAATGGACATTGTTAATTCTGGCTATCGAGCGCAGAATTACTGATGAATTTACAAACGCTCAACACCCGTCAAATATGGCCGGTGTCAGTAAATGCAGGCAAAAAAAATGCGTAATTAAAATTGTCTGGATAACATGAACAGTCTGACCGGCTCTGCTAGGGCGAGTAAAATGGTCAGTGAGATGTTCTCTCATTTGTGCCTGGAAGTAGCTAGCAAGCTAGCCAACGTTAGCTTGGGTGCTTGACTGCCGTTGTGAGGCCAGAACGCTCTGATCAACCCTACTCCTTGACCAGAGCGTCCAGTGTGTGCTCCGAGAGCGAAACCCTCAAATTACGAACGGACATTCTGACAACGTTCTGGATTTACCAACGCCCCAGAGCGCACTCTGGCACTCCAGATTGAATTTACGAACACAGCCGAAATCGTAAAATGTGTAGCTAGTAATTTTTGTATGCTAACAAGCTAGCGAGAGGTTGCACAGCAACAAGTTCCGGCAGACAGGCATTTACAGTATACTAAAATGAACTGATAGTATGAAGCATATACTCATCATGTAGTATACAGTACGTTAGCACGGGTATTCAAACACAGCTCTAGACTAAAAGACTAAAGACCCCGTTGAACATGATTTTAGTCCAGGACTTCGCCAACTGGTTCACCAGTTTCCCTATTATACAGGCCTTTATATGCAACCGAGGGCCATAGCCGGCCATTTTGGTGGTATACTCACAGCCGGGTCATGGAGCAGGATGGCTTGACGTCTGGCTGTCTTGGCGTAGGGGTTCAGCTTCATCATGATTCTCAGGTTCTTCAGAGGGTTCTTCTTCAGGACCCTGCGCCTGATCTTCTTGCTGTGAGGAGACCAGACGGGGTCAGTAGGAGGGAAAATCTAGCGTTGACGAAGGCACACTTAACTACATAGTGCACTACTTTAGACCAGAGCCCAATTGACCCCAATCGAAAGTAATACACTATATTAGGAAGAGGGCCCCTTGGGATGCAGCCTATTGTAAAGGCTCAGGATTCAGAAACACAGACCGTAAAAGTGGAACCTCATGGCTTCATGTCACAATGGAGGATAACCCATAATGCTCTACTACAGTACCCATAATGCTCTGTACTACAGTACCCATAATGCTCTGTACTACAGTACCCATAATGCTCTGTACTACAGTACCCATAATGCTCTGTACTACATAAAGTGAGCAGGTCTTACTTTGGTGCACGAAGTGCTTTCTGGATCTCTTCACTCTTCAGAATCCTGCTCAGATCTGTGTTGGTCATCTTGTGCATTGGCAGACTGGAGGAGGGGGACAGTGGTCAGAACACATTACGACTGGCAGTAACTAAGATTATTATGGTGGTTAGCAGCAGAACATTGGAGCCTTATCAAAACTCAGAACTTCTGGTAGATATCAGGATTCAGAAACACGGACCGAAGTGGAAGCTCATCACTGTAGAAATTAAATAGCTCTCAAATCTGCTACTAACCAACACATTAAACAACGCCTGTCCTTGAGTACCCCCAACACGTTGTAGCCCAAGACAAGCACACCCGATTCAGCTGGTCAAGTAATCAAGCCCTCAAAGACTTGAATCAGGTGAGTTTGTTCGGAGATGCAACAACAAAGTGCTTTTTTTGGGGGGTTCTGGAGGACTGATCTGGGGCAACACTGCCCTGCAACATCATGCCCAACTGGTTGACATTACTAACTAGTTGAAACGACTAACTTAATTTCAACCAGTTTTAACCAACTACGAAGACAGGGCCCAATGAGCCTTAGGACCCTATGCACCGGTGGAGATCCGAGGAGACTCGTCTGAAGTCGGAACCGCCGATGTGCCAACCTCTGTTTGTAGCCCAAACCTTTCGGACGCTACCAAACTAAATGGGACCCCACGGTGGAAAGGGGATATTCTCACGAACATAAGTGTTCTCAGTTTTGCTCTACGAGCCCCACGGGACTCGTCTGAAGGTAACCGGTACCAGATTTTAAAAAAACTAGAAGTATGAAGGTAATAATAATAATATGCCATTTAGCAGACGCTTTTATCCAAAGCGACTTACAGTCATGCGTGCATACATTTTTGTGTATGGGTGGTCCCGGGGATCGAACCCACTACCTTGGCGTTACAAGCGCCGTGCTCTACCAGCTGAGCTAGGTAGTTTTGCCTACCCCAAAAAAGGGATTAAAAAGGTGTTCAAAAATATAAAAACATCTCATGTCCTAGATTTAGGACAGACACTTCAAAAACGTGTTTGTGATGTATTTTTTGACTGTACTTTGCCATAAATGTGTTTATGGGGTTTATATTTTATCAAATAATTGTTTATACCTAAAAGGGGTCCTAAATCAAATAGTTAACTGATCCATGGTATGGAAATCTTAAAACAATTCCACGTCAGCTTAGTACCCCCTCGTCCCCCAACATCTTAGTCTAAATAATTAACTATTTGAATTGATTTATGAAATTAGACAACTGTATGGAAAGTAGATTCTTAATGTTAATTAGTCGGTACAGAATAAAACAACCGTTTGTTATGCCAATTCATTTAAGGTGGTCATATTGTTTTAAACAGAGCTGGTAGTTTAACACCTCAGAAATAACTCCACGTTGACAGGCTATATTGGAGTTACCATGTTCATCAGATCTCCACAAGAACATAGGGGTCCATTAAGGACCGGGTCCATTAAGGATCGGGCCCATTAAGGACCAGGTCCATTAAGGATCGGGCCCATTAAGGACCAGGTCCACTAAGGATCAGGCCCATTTAACCCTAGTTTTACTAACTTGTAGTCCACCTTGAGAGAGGCAGATTTGCGCCAGGTTCCATAGAGCTGGTCCAACTTGCGGAAGGCGGACTCGGTCCAGATACAGAAGCGGCCGACGTGACCACCGGGGGCGAGCCGGAGCAGGTTCAGCTTGTTCACGTTCTGCAGGGTGATGCCTGGTAGATGGATGGGAAGTATTGAGTTTTAAAACAGAGAAACTCAAAATCAGTTTCCTACACAGTGGCAACTACAGCAAGACAGTTTCTATTGAAAAGAAACGCATCTACATTTCGGTCATTTGGATTAGCAGATGAATGGCATTCTCCATTATCCCTTTACAGAAAACGTGTATTCATTAGCCATGTTTATTTACTTTTCCTATGCAAAAGAAGAAGATACTAATCACCGCTACATGGAGGCAGTGTCTGAAACAGCACCCTATTGCCTTTACTTCTGCCAAAGTAGTGCACACACCAGGGTAGACTAACCAGTACCTACCAGGGTAGACTAACCAGTACACACCAGGGTAGACTTACCAGTACATACCAGGGTAGACTAACCAGTACATACCAGGGTAGACTAACCAGTACATACCAGGGTAGACTAACCAGTACCTACCAGGGTAGACTAACCAGTACCTACCAGGGTAGACTAACCAGTACACACCAGGGTAGACTTACCAGTACATACCAGGGTAGACTAACCAGTACATACCAGGGTAGACTAACCAGTACACACCAGGGTAGACTAACCAGTACATACCAGGGATGTTTCTGAATGCCTTGGTGACGCCTTGGTCTTGGTTGTAGATGATGCACGGTCCTTTGCGCTGGATACGCCTGCGATTCCTCATCTTACCTTTCCCGGCACGCATTCGCTGGGACGCGTACACCTGCACAGATCCACAATATCACCTTCATTAACTCATCCACTAAGGACACACACTTATACTATCACGCAATGGCTCACGACTCCCATTAAAATCGGGATTCAGAAACACGGACCTGGAGTGGTACATCACTGCTTCATTTCGCTCATAACAAGACGTCGAAAAGTGAACCTTGACAGTGAGACAGTATTAAGTATAGCTATATTATTAACCTTCTTGATGTCGTTCCAGGCCTTGAGTTTCTTCAGCAGCAGCACAGCCTCCTTGGTCTTCTTGTAACCCTCCACTTTATCATCAACCACCAGGGGAACCTCTGGGATCTCCTCAATCCGGTGTCCTGAACGAGGGGAGGCCATCTAGTTACTGAGATCTATAGCCTTCTAATTCCATACAGGGATATACACACCCCCTGAAGGTGGGGATCAGGAGAACCATTCTAATGCATTATACTACCCTACTACTACTACCAGCTTCATTATACTACCCTACTACTACTACCAGCTTCATTATATTACCCTACTACTACTACTACCAGCTTCATTATACTACCCTACTACTACTACCAGCTTCATTATACTACCCTACTACTACTACCAGCTTCATTATACTACCCTACTACTACTACCAGCTTCATTATACTACCCTACTACTACTACCAGCTTCATTATATTACCCTACTACTACTACCAGCTTCATTATATTACCCTACTACTAGATTATATATTTTACTACTACTACCAGCTTCATTATATTACCCTACTACCAGCTTCATTATATTACCCTACTACAAGATTATATATTTTACTACTACTACCAGCTTCATTATATTACCCTAGTACCAGCTTCATTATATTACCCTACTACCAGCTTCATTATATTACCCTAGTACCAGCTTCATTATATTACCCTACTACTAGATTATATATTTTACTACTACTACCAGCTTCATTATATTACCCTAGTACCAGCTTCATTATATTACCCTACTACCAGCTTCATTATATTACCCTAGTACCAGCTTCATTATATTACCCTACTACTAGATTATATATTTTACTACTACTACCAGCTTCATTATATTACCCTAGTACCAGCTTCATTATATTACCCTACTACTAGATTATATATTTTACTACTACTACCAGCTTCATTATATTACCCTACTACCAGCTTCATTATATTACCCTACTACCAGCTTCATTATATTACCCTACTACCAGCTTCATTATATTACCCTACTACCAGCTTCATTATATTACCCTACTACTAGATTATCTATTTTACTACTACTACCAGCTTCATTATATTACCCTACTACCAGCTTCATTATATTACCCTACTACCAGCTTCATTATATTACCCTACTACCAGCTTCATTATATTACCCTACTACCAGCTTCATTATATTACCCTACTACTAGATTATCTATTTTACTACTACTACCAGCTTCATTATATTACCCTACTACCAGCTTCATTATATTACCCTACTACCAGCTTCATTATATTACCCTACTACTAGATTATATATTTTACTACTACTACCAGCTTCATTATATTACCCTACTACCAGCTTCATTATATTACCCTACTACCAGCTTCATTATATTACCCTACTACTAGATTATCTATTTTACTACTACTACCAGCTTCATTATATTACCCTACTACCAGCTTCATTATATTACCCTACTACCAGCTTCATTATATTACCCTACTACTAGATTATATATTTTACTACTACTACCAGCTTCATTATATTACCCTACTACCAGCTTCATTATATTACCCTACTACCAGCTTCATTATATTACCCTACTACCAGCTTCATTATATTACCCTACTACCAGCTTCATATTACCCTACTACTAGATTATCTATTTTACTACTACTACCAGCTTCATTATATTACCCTACTACCAGCTTCATTATATTACCCTACTACTAGATTATATATTTTACTACTACCAGCTTCATTATATTACCCTACTACCAGCTTCATTATATTACCCTACTACCAGCTTCATTATATTACCCTACTACCAGCTTCATTATATTACCCTAGTACCAGCTTCATTATACTACCCTACTACTAGATTATATATTTTACTACTACTACCAGCTTCATTATATTACCCTACTACCAGCTTCATTATATTACCCTACTACTAGATTATATATTTTACTACTACTACCAGCTTCATTATATTACCCTAGTACCAGCTTCATTATATTACCCTACTACCAGCTTCATTATATTACCCTAGTACCAGCTTCATTATATTACCCTACTACTAGATTATATATTTTACTACTACTACCAGCTTCATTATATTACCCTACTACCAGCTTCATTATATTACCCTACTACTAGATTATATATTTTACTACTACTACCAGCTTCATTATATTACCCTACTACCAGCTTCATTATATTACCCTACTACTAGATTATATATTTTACTACTACTACCAGCTTCATTATATTACCCTAGTACCAGCTTCATTATATTACCCTAGTACCAGCTTCATTATATTACCCCAGTACCAGCTTAATTATATTACCCTACTACTAGATTATATATTTTACTACTACTACCAGCTTCATTATATTACCCTAGTACCAGCTTCATTATATTACCCTACTACCAGCTTCATTATATTACCCTAGTACCAGCTTCATTATATTACCCTACTACTAGATTATATATTTTACTACTACTACCAGCTTCATTATATTACCCTAGTACCAGCTTCATTATATTACCCTACTACCAGCTTCATTATATTACCCTAGTACCAGCTTCATTATATTACCCTACTACTAGATTATATATTTTACTACTACTACCAGCTTCATTATATTACCCTAGTACCAGCTTCATTATATTACCCTACTACTAGATTATATATTTTACTACTACTACCAGCTTCATTATATTACCCTACTACCAGCTTCATTATATTACCCTACTACCAGCTTCATTATATTACCCTACTACTAGATTATCTATTTTACTACTACTACCAGCTTCATTATATTACCCTACTACCAGCTTCATTATATTACCCTACTACTAGATTATATATTTTACTACTACTACCAGCTTCATTATATTACCCTACTACCAGCTTCATTATATTACCCTACTACTAGATTATATATTTTACTACTACTACCAGCTTCATTATATTACCCTAGTACCAGCTTCATTATATTACCCTACTACCAGCTTCATTATATTACCCTAGTACCAGCTTCATTATATTACCCCACTACTAGATTATATATTTTACTACTACTACCAGCTTCATTATATTACCCTACTACCAGCTTCATTATATTACCCTACTACTAGATTATATATTTTACTACTACTACCAGCTTCATTATATTACCCTACTACCAGCTTCATTATATTACCCTACTACTAGATTATATATTTTACTACTACTACCAGCTTCATTATATTACCCTACTACCAGCTTCATTATATTACCCTACTACCAGCTTCATTATATTACCCTACTACTAGATTATATATTTTACTACTACTACCAGCTTCATTATATTACCCTACTACCAGCTTCATTATATTACCCTACTACCAGCTTCAATATATTACCCTACTACTAGATTATATATTTTACTACTACTACCAGCTTCATTATATTACCCTACTACCAGCTTCATTATATTACCCTACTACCAGCTTCATTATATTACCCTACTACTAGATTATATATTTTACTACTACTACCAGCTTCATTATATTACCCTAGTACCAGCTTCATTATATAGCAATGTACAGTTTCTCTAGCAATAGCTACATTATATTAATATACAATATCAGAACTTTTGTTTCGTCAACCCACAGTGCCAGTTATAAGACAGCCGGCAAACCGTCACTGCAGTGTCAGACGCAAATTACACCATCATAACAAGTCATCTTTAATGAATCAACATTTTAAAGGGATAGTTGTGGATTTTGGCAACGAGACCCTTTACTTCCCCAGAGTCAGATGAACTTGTGGATACCATTTTTACGTCAGTGTCCAGTATGAAGGAAATTCTAGGTAGTTTTGTGAGCTAATGCTATCTTGCGTTAGCCCAATGACGGAGTCTACAGGAAGAGACGGAATGCTAGGTGTTCCAATAGAATGCTAGGTGTTCCAATAGAATGCTAGGTGTTCCAATAGAATGCTAGGTGTTCCAATAGAATGCTAGGTGTTCCAATAGACTTCCAGTCACTGCACTAGCGCTATTTAGCACCTTCCTTCAAACTGCACTCAGACAAACGGTATCCATGACGATCTGACTCTGGGGAAGTAGATAAAGGGACCCCTTGCCAAAATCCTGAACTCTTTAAGAGCCTGTTGTTTCTTAAATGCATAACAGGTGTCTAGCAAAGAGATTATTAACTAAAAATTAGAACTCGTACAAGGTTAAATACATATATTTACACTGGTAAGACAGCTGTGCAGTGAGTACATCAGAGGATGGTGGGCGGCGTACCTTTTGACATGACAAGTGCGGGCAGGGCGGAGGCAGCCAGGGCGGAGCAGATGGCGTAACGCTTCTGTGTGGTGTTGATCCTGCGGTGCCAGCGGCGCCATGTCTTGGTGGGGGCGAACATGCGGCCTCCACGACACATCTACAGTCACTTGGGTCAAGGAACTGCTAAACAAGGCAGAAAGATTCAAGCCAGGGAAACAACATTAAGTGGTCTTTAGTCTAGGGCCAACCTTAATCTGTGTCCCGGAAACCGGCCCTAAATGTGTTTGAGTGCCTTGCTCAGACTCAATGTTCGTCAGCCACTTGTGCCAGCGTACGACATCAGGCATAATGTCACTGTTCACAGTGTAGGACGCAAATTACACCATCACTGCAAGCCTCCGACTGTCTAGTCAACCTCAGCATGCATTACCACCAGGGCTTTGTTCATTAGGCAACAAACTGATGAACACTCCAAAACAGTGAGGTACCATTTGTACTTATCCAATGAGAAACGTGTATTCCCTCTACAAAATGTTCAGTTACAATGACACATAATGAACACCACCCCGGCAGCACATTTGTACCCGTTACAGACATCGTAAAATTAATAGGAAATGTTTCATTTTGTCTGTTAGAGAAGGATACATTTCCGAAAGCTCCCTGACCAGAGCGGTGGGTACCACCTCCCCTCACACGGGGAATACGGGCCACGGCCCGGCCTGTACCCCAGGACTCAGCGCTGGTCTGGTGACCTGGAACCCAGAGAACACACAGAACGCATTAGAACCTATCCTGTATACTTTACCCTTGTCAACAGGCCGCTATAGGTTTTATGGTACAGATGAAAGCCATTCAGAACTTCTACTATAATCACTGCTCTCAGAAACACGGACCGAAGTGTCAACTCATCAGTAAAGCTTGTCATCTGTCTCCAAAAAAGCAATGTTTATTTGACTGAATACATGTTGAAACAATCACTCACCGGCCAGTTTGCTGACAGCATAGGGCTGACGGTTGTTCTTGCGCATGTTGGTGTGCACAAAGTTGACAATGTCAGGGCGGATGGGAGCCTTAAACACGGCAGGCATGACGACATTTTTGCCTGAACTCTCTCCTTTCTCGGAGTAGATAGAGATTAACGGCCGGGCACAAGCCTGAGGAAGACAAAAAGGTCAGGGATAGGTTATCCTGCAATAGGTTACAATGTACCTAATCGCATGTAGATAGTTAACCAACAGTCTACATCTGAAACGTTAAACGTCAGCCAACATAGCTAGTTAGCCGTCTTGCTCAGACTCAGTTGTCGTCATTCACTTGCGCCAGCATATGACCGTAGGCATCGGTCGACTGATCGCAAAGTAGGACGCAAATTACACCATCATAGCAAGTAAATGTAGTTTAGTTCTGAAATATATTCAATGTAAAATAACGACCAATTCACAGTATTCCTTGGCTTGTTTATTTGCAGCTATGTTAGTAGGTAGCATGCAAAAACGGATAATGTGTCAGCTTTGGATGTGTTATATGTTGGTAGCTAGCTGGTGTCAGCAAATGTATACCTGAACTATGGTTTACTAAGTAAATACTCAAAACAGTTACATGAGGAAAGGTATACTGGTTTACGAATCTCACGTATAATTGAGAAAACCCGGCTTTATGGCCTGTGTTATTGCAAAGGAAAGAACACGTGACTTGGCTAAAACAGTGCCCATCCAAAATGGCGCCTCGTGTCAACTTCGTTCAGATTCGACATGGAATAAAGTTAAATGTTTTTACCTTGTAGAGATTTTGGCGAAACAAGCGTTTGGTTTTGGAATATACATTGCTCGCGAACGTTGACGTCAAATGGTATATGCAACTGAAACCAAATTAGCCAGGATTCTCACCATTTTGATATTTTTGTTTCGGCTCCCAGGGAACCTCGCTCTTCACTCAATGGCGGCCACAGGAGAAAAGGAAGTTGGTACTACAACTCACACGATATATGCTTCCGACAACGTCACACTTCCGCCAACTTAAACTTTCAATAAATGCAATACTATAGAGGTATATTTTTTATATTCTAAATCAATATATTTAACCTTCTATAAATATCGATACTGAAATACTATACAACGGCGAAAACAACTTTCATAAATGGGACTATCTAGGTCTCTACTGCGCAGTACGGCGGAGGAAACAAGGGTGGTGACCGGACTACTTTCGTGATAATTATTTCTTTTTCATAAATAAATGTAGCTACCGCATGTGCCAAAATACTTATTTTGTCTTACAAGTGAAATATGAATTGATCAAAAATAAAAAATAAATGGTGTTTTCAAATGTTTGGCTAGCTTGTTAGCTGACTAGTTTGCTAACGTTACTTATCTGACTATTTTCAATCTTTGCCTGTTATTGTTTTGTGCAGCTAATGTTAGCTTAGTTAGTTAGCTAACGTTTACTAGCTACAGACAGATGTATCTAGTTAGCAAGCTAGCTAAATAATCAATTGACTTTGGGGGGGGGGGGTGAATAGTTATGCACGCCCATGGGACCACACAGCCGTCATACCACTCAGGAAAGAGACGGATTCTGTCTCCTAGAGATGAACATACTTTGGTGCGAAAAGTGCAAATCAATCCCAGAACAACAGCAAAGGACCTTGTGAAGATGCTGGAGGAAACCGGTACATAAGTATCTATATCCACAGTAAAACGAGTCCTATATCGACATAACCTGAAAGGCCGCTCAGCAAGGAAGAAGCCACTGCTCCAAAACCACCATAAAAAAGCCAGACTACGGTTTGCAACTGCACATGGGGACAAAGATCGTACTTTTTTGAGAAATGTCCTCTGGTCTGATGTAACAAAAATAGAACTGTTTGGCCATAATGACCATCGTTATGTTTGGAGGAAAAAGGCGGTGGCAGCATCATGCTGTGGGGGTGCTTTGCTGCAGGAGGGACTGGTGCACTTCACAAAATAGATGACATCATGAGGAAGGAAAATGATATGGATATATTGAAGCAACATCTCAAGACATCAGTCAGGAAGTTAAAGCTTGGTCTCAAATGGGTCTTCCAAATGGACAATGACCCCAAGCATACTTCCAAAGTTGTGGCAAAATGGCTTAAGGACAACAAAGACAAGGTATTGGAGTGGCCATCATAAAGCCCTGACCGCAATCCTATAGAACATTTGTGGGCAGAACTGAAAAAGCGTTTTTCAGCAAGGAGGCCTACAAACCTGACTCAGTTACACCAGCTCTGTCAGGAGGAATAGGCCAAAATTCACCCAACTTATTGTGGGAAGCTTGTGGAAGGCTACCCGAAACGTTTGACCCAAGTTAAATAATTTAAAGGCAATGCTACCAAATACTAATTGAGTGTATGTACATTTCTGTCACGGTCGTTCATGAACAGGTCAGACCAAGGCGCAGCGTGATATGCATACATGTTTATTTGACTATTAAACGCAACATACGTTACACGGAACAAGATCCCACAACCCACTAGTGCCAATAGGCTACCTAAGTATGGTTCCCCAATCAGAGACAATGAGCGACAGCTGCCTCTGATTGGGAACCACACCGGCCAACATAGACCTAGACGTACTAGATCTAAACCTAGAAAATACAACATAGAAAGTCACACCCTGACTCAACAAATAAGAGTCCCCAGAGTCAGGGCGTGACCATTTCTGACCCACTGGGAATGTGATGAAAGAAATAAAAGCTGAAAGAAATAATTCTCTACTATTATTCTGACATTTCACATTCTTAAAATAAAGTGGTTATCCTAACTGACCTAAGAAAATGTCAGGAATTGTGAAAAACTGCATTTAAATGTATTTGGCTAAGGTGTTTGTAAACTTCCGACTTCAACTCTACAACACCCCTTATGGCAGATTCAGGTTCCTGAGATTACCGTTTGGCATTGCCTCAGCTCCTGAAGTTTATCACAAAACCATACATCTGATCTACGAACACATTGAGGGCATGGACACGTCGATGGATGACATTATTGTATGGGGGATGTCGAAAGCAGAGCACGACGCTAGACTGAAAAAAGTGCTGGAAGCAACAAGGAAAGCAAACTTGAAACTGATCAGAGATACATTTTGTTGGAGACATCATCAGCAGTGTAGGCATCAGACCTGAGCTGAGAAAAATATCTGCTGTGGATAACATTCCAAAACCAAAGAGCAAAACGTCCAGAGGTTTAATGGGATGGTCAACTACATGAGAAAATTACTACCCAACCTCTCAGAGAAGATTGCTCCGATGAGAAGACTGACAGAAAATAAAATAGAATGGGAATGGAATCATGAACATGAGACTGCATGGAACAACTTGAAAAAAACAGCTGACAGAAGAACCAGTCTGGAGGTTTTACGACCCAGCGAGACCATCGGATGCATCACAGAGTGGACTGTTCTGTTGCAGAAATACGTCAACAACTGGCAACCAGTGGCAACCAGTGGCAACCAGTGGCATATGCATCTCGTTCAATGACCGACCCTGAGACCTGATCTGCTCAAATTCAAAGGGAGCTGCTCACCATAACATATGCTGGTGAGAGATTTCCTCAGTTTGTGTCAGGACAAGTGATGAGCGTTGAAACAGATCACAAAACACTGATTCCGCTGTTTCAAAAGCCACTGAAGGACTGTCCGCTGAGAGTCCAAAGAACGATGAGCAAACTACAATGCTCTGAATGTGGCATACACACCAAGAAAAGATGATGTGCACAGCAGACCCTCTTTCTAGAGCTGTGGACCCGAAGGCGCTAGCAAGCACCACAGCAGATGAAGAAGTGAGAGCATACGTGGACATGATCACAACAGCCAGTCACAGATGGAAGATGGAAATCATACGGACTGAGACAGAAAAAGACACAACACTGACAAACCTGAAGGAAACAATCATCAATGAATGGCCTAACATAAAACAAGCCTGCTCACAAGACATAACTGAATACTGGAACTGCAGAGCTGAGCTGACAGCACTCACATGGTCTACAAAGGAAGCAAAATAGTAAATCTGAAAAGTCTGAGGAAGGAAATGTTTACCTAGGAACCAATACGTGTAAGAAGAGAGCATGTAAAGTAATGTATTGGCCCAGAATGAACCAAGATGTGACAGAGAAAGTACCAAACTGTACTACATGTCTGAAATACCAAGCAAGCAACCCTGCAGAGCCATTAAAGCCCCACCCTGCACCTGAGAGACCAGACCAAAAGGTAGGAACTGACCTTTTCACATGTAATGGAATGGATTACCTTGTTGACACAGACTCCTACTTCCTGTATCCAGAGGTTTGTAGGCTGAACACCACTACCTCAGATGCTGTGATAACCTGCCTGAACTCCAACCTGGGGACAACGTGAGGGACAAGAAACCTGCCTAAACTCCAACCTGGGGACAACGTGAGGGACAAGAAACCTGCCTGAACTCCAACCTGGGGACAACTTGAGGGACAAGAAACCTGCCTGAACTCCAACCTGGGGACAATGTGAGGGACAAGAAGCCTGCCTGAACTCCAACCTGGGGACAATGTGAGGGACAAGAAGCCTGCCTGAACTCCAACCTGGGGACAACTTGAGGGACAAGAAACCTGCCTGAACTCCAACCTGGGGACAACTTGAGGGACAAGAAACCTGCCTGAACTCCAACCTGGGGACAACTTGAGGGACAAGAAACCTGCCTGAACTCCAACCTGGGGACAACTTGAGGGACAAGAAACCTGCCTGAACTCCAACATGGGGACAACGTGAGGGACAAGAAGCCTGCCTGAACTCCAACCTGGGGACAACGTGAGGGACAAGAAGCCTGCCTGAACTCCAACCTGGGGACAATGTGAGGGACAAGAAGCCTGCCTAAACTCCAACCTGGGGACAACGTGAGGGACAAGAAACCTGCCTGAACTCCAACCTGGGGACAACTTGAGGGACAAGAAGCCTGCCTGAACTCCAACCTGGGGACAATGTGAGGGACAAGAAGCCTGCCTGAACTCCAACCTGGGGACAATGTGAGGGACAAGAAGCCTGCCTGAACTCCAACCTGGGGACAATGTGAGGGACAAGAAGCCTGCCTAAACTCCAACCTGGGGACAACGTGAGGGACAAGAAACCTGCCTGAACTCCAACATGGGGACAATGTGAGGGACAAGACAAATCAAACACATGGACACAGAAAGGAACAGTGATCCCTGAAGGACAGCCAAGGTCATACAACATACAAACAGAAGATGGCGCTGTTCTACGGAGAAACCGTTGGGTTCTTCTAAAAAACAGACACTGTTGAAGAAGCTCTGGCAGCAGCCCAGCATGAAGAACAAACCAGCAGAAGATCCACACGGCAGTGGAAGACTTATTGAGAGTTGTTAGGGACTCTAAGGACAATTACAACAGTTGAGAGTAAATTACTAATGTGGTATTTTCTCTAGTGGTCCTACTAAGCATATAGTTAATAAAAATTTTGGTAACACTTTTGAAATGCTGTTTACAATTCATTTTGTTATTACACTTGGAGTACAGAAAGAGATTGTTTATTTTGAAAAGTAAAATACTTTTATTTAAAGAAATTGAGATGTAATGTTATGAGTAAATAGTGTTTGCTAGATTGATTACAACGCCTGAGCAGGATAATGCAGGAGAGCTACCTGTGGGCAGTTAAACGTGACAGAGAGTCGTGTGAATACGTGCCTCCCAACAACATGTCAAACGACATTCTTTCAAAAAAAAAAACCTTCATCCTCTTTCATTACCGTGTACTCACTGAACCCTAACAACACAACAAGTGGAGCTTTGTACACATACACCAACACAGACTAGACTGCATGCATGGATCATTAAGCACACGTGTTTAATAGCATCAACAGTTGGAGTGAGGGGATGGAGTGTTTTCTCTA